GAATGGGATAAAGAATAACAGTGAAATTTAAAGTTTCTAAGCAATGTTTTATTTAAAAAATATATTTAGGTCAGGCATAGTGGCTCACACCTGTAATCCCAGCATTTTGGGAGGCAAAGGCAGATGGATTGCTTGAGGTTGGGAGTTCCAGAGCATCCTGGCCAACTTGGTAAAATCCTACCTCTACTAAAAATTCTAAAAATTAGCCAGGCAAGGTGGCGCAATCTTGGCTCACTACACTCCAGCCTGAGTGACAGAGCAAGACTGTTTCAAAAATAAATTAAAAATTTAAAAAAAAAAAAGTTTGGGCTGGATGCTGTGGCTCACATCTGTAATCCCAACACTTTGAGAGGCTGAGACAGGCGGGTCACCTGAGGTTAGGAGTTCAAGAACAGCCTGGCCAACATGGTGAAACCCTGTCTCTACTAAAAATAAAAAATTAGCCAGGTGTGGTGGTGCATGCCTGTAATCCCAACTACTCGAGAGGCTGAGGCAGGAGAATCGCTTGATCCCAGGAGGCGGAGGTTGTAAGGGTGCAGTGAGCGGAGATCACATCACTGCACTCCAGCCAGCCTGGGCGACAGAGTGAAAATCTGTCTCCAAAAAAATAAAAAATAAAAACATTTGATACAGAAATAAAAAATGTGAATTCTGGGTAATGGTTTCATTTTTTCTTTTTTTTTTTTCCATAGCAGAAGAACTTGAGGTGGTTTCTTTTGTTGAATTATTAACTGCTCTGTGAATGTTTCTGCATGTTTCAGTCAAATTAAACAAAAGTTGATTAATTTTCAAAATAAAAACAAAAAGCCTTATATTCACTATTTGCTGCTGGGGTTTTGCTTTTTATTTTTTACTTTTTTATTTTCCAAGACAGAGTCTTGCTCTGTCGCCCAGGCTCGAGTGCAGTGGCACCATCACAGCTCACTGCAACATCCACTTCCAGGTTCAAGTGATTCTCCTGCCTCAGCCTCCCAAGTAGATGATATTACAAGCTTGCACCACCACACCCAGCTAATTTTTGTATTTTTAGCAGGAACAGGGTTTCACATGCTGGTCCCAAATTCCTGACCTTCAGTGATCTGCCCGTCTCAGCCTCCCAAAGCATGGGATTACAGGCGTGAACCACTGCAGCTGGCCTGGATTTTGCTTTAACACTATTTAGTTCCAGATGTTTGGAAAGACATATGGAATTTGAACTACTTCTGTAATATTAGATAGTCTCATAAATATTGTGAAACGCAGCATTCTAAACATGGTTTCTGAATGAAATGTTTAGTTTTCACCATGTTTTAAAGATTAGTTGTGGCTAGGTATGGTGGCTCATGCCTATAATCCCAGCACTTAGGAAGGCTGAGGTGGGCAGATCACTTGAGGCCAGGAGTTTGAGACCAGCCTGGCCAATATGAAAAAACCCCATCTCTGCTAAAAATACAAAAATTAGCTGGGTGTGGTGGCACAAGCCTGTAATCCCAGTTATTCGGGAGGCTGAGGCTGGAGAATTGCGTGAACCTGGGAGGTGGAGGCTGCAGTGAGCCAAGATCATGCCACTGCACTGCAACCTGGGTGACAGAGACATGGCAGACGACCAGAAGGTGTTGACGAGGCAGCCACGCCATCTCTTCTTGCGAGCATTTATTTTCTCTGTTTGAAGCCTTGTGACCCATCAGGACCCAGAGGTTGTCTGATCACATTACTAGGCTGCCTGCTGTCTTTGGGTTGGGAGATCCTGGTTGGCCTGAAGGGAAGATCAGAGGAATGCCTGTCGAAGATGGGTTTCTCCTGCTCCTCCTCGCCCGACACTGTCCAGGATCCTGGTCTTGGCCTCCTGCCCTGCCAGGGACTTGACTGAAAGGGCAGGCCTGCTGGCAGAGTTGGGGCTGCTGACCATAACGTTGCTGGTGGGCCTCTTGAGGATGAGGACCTGTGGAGTGGGTCCCGCAGGATAACTACAGTCCTGAATCATAATGGGCACTTTGGGAAGAGATTTGGCTTTCCTGCTGTCTTTCTGTGTGATCTTCAGTTTTTTTTCAGAGGTCTATTTCCCTGCTGTCTGCTGCCTCCTCCAGCTCTCAGCGACCTCGTCATATTCCATCTCACTTGCTGCTTTCCAGATCGCTTGCTTTCTTATTCTGCATTTTCTTTGACTTTTGCAGTATTCAATATTATTACTTGATTCCGGTTTTTTAGACATCACTATATGGCCCTTGGCTTTCTGGTCATTCCTCTAATTCTTTTGCTGTTTCAAGCTCTGTTCCAAGCCTAAGCTTTTACCACTGAATTCTGTTCTGTGACACATCACCTAAAACAAACTCAACTTTTCATTCCCCTCAGACTTTTTTGATCAGCAGTATTTTCAACTTCTTGTGGGAAGTAAAAAACTTCCTTTTTAAAGTTTCCTTTCTTGTTAAAGAATAAGTGTGCTAATAACTTTAAGCCCTATCCTATGTAGCTGTTAGCCATGCCATGCTTACAGGCACGTAATACATTCTATATCCTTGTACTTTAACCAAGATATCTGTGCTGGACGTGCTCACAGGCATGTCCCAGTTCTCCACTGCTTTTACCTGTTTAAAAAAGTTTTAAGTCGTTAGTTAGCCAATTGGGTTTTAGTTTAGAGGTCTGGCTCTAGCCAACGGGGGTCAGACACAGCAGTAAGGATGACCCCAAATGCCTAAGGGATAAATTTGTGTTTTCCTTTGTTCATTGTACTCTTGCGGCACAATAGCTAGCAAGGGTACCCTTTCTGCAGTCCAGGAAGTAAAACTTTTGTTGCTTTAAGATCCTTTCCTAATTTTTCTATGCGGGACCAAGCATCTATTTCCAACAATACTGAATCATCATGCTGTGGCAGTGCTGGTACACATAGTTTTGAATACCAGGTTCGTGAGTGAATCCTTTTTGCTTCTCTCTCTCCCCCACCCCCACTTCTTCTCCCCTCTGCCTTCATTTCTGCCCCTTCTTTTCCCGTTACATTAGAAAAGGTCTAATCTTATCAGTTCTGCCTTTTGTTTCTGCTCTCATAATTTTGTCAAGATAATTTTTTCAAAGCACAAGGCCAATGAGAAGGGGGAACTTTGGTCCAGAAGGCAGCTGGCCTGACTATTCTGAGTTTGAATCAGTTCTTGGTGGTCCTGTTAAAATACATTTTGAAGCAAATCACCTGTTTTTATACTCCTAATGTCTACTCTGTTCAAAGCCCAAATTTCCTTGCTTGGCATTTAAGGAGACTCCAAGTTCTTAAAACTTGTACTTGACTTTAATGCAAGTCAAACTTATTTATTGTATCTCAAACAGTCATCTTATATTTTCTTTTTTTTTTTTTTTTTTTTTTGGGACGGAGTTTCGCTCTTGTTACCCAGTCTGCAGTGCAATGGCGCGATCTCTGCTCACCGCAACCTCCGCCTCCTGGGTTCAGGCAATTCTCCTGCCTCAGCCTCCTGTATATTTTCTTTTCTGCATTTTGTGATCGTTTTCTTGTGCCTGGAATACTCTGCTTTTATTTAAGTCTCACCATCTTTCAGGACACAAAATATGTGTGCTCTTCTCTGAGGCCTTTGTGAACTGCCCCCAGCATTCACTAAGCAATTCATTGTCTCTGAAATTTTATAGCACAAACCCATTCATTCACTTGAAATTTAACAAATACCAACTTCTAGCACTTATCTTTTCATGCTTACATTTTCTCACTGCTTGAGATTTTCCTTCATCCAGTGTCAAGCACTGAGTCTCACAATCAGAAACCCCACTGCATTTGATCTGGTAAAAACAACATCTTTTTAAAAGACACATATTAAATCCTTTAAGTTAATCATATTGTCAATGAACTTAAATCAACTGCGTGACCACTATGTTTAAGGAAGATTCCTTTTTAGTAGGCTGGGGAACCGGAGAAGGGGAGGATGTAACTTTATTAAAAAAAAAAAAAAAAAAGGTCCTTGTTCACAAGGAGCTAATTGCTTACTGGGCAGTGAAGAAAGGCGTTCCTTCTTTGCAATGGCTGTGTTTTTGGGTTTAGCTGACTCAATTCTTTATGTCCTCAATTTATGAGACAAAATCAAACATTTTTGCCACACCTCTGTGGGCAAGTAGGTGAGTCAGAATGAGTGTATAATATATAAATATATATTTTAATGATAATAAAGGTGTAGATTAACAAACTCAAACTTTTTTTTTTTTTTTGAGAGTCTGGCTCTGCCGCCTAGGCTAGAGTGCAGAGGCACGATCTCAGCTCACTGCAGCCTCCACCTCCCGGGTTCACGTGATTCTCCTGCTTCAGCCTCTTGAATAGCTGGGACTACAGGGTTGCACCACCACGCCCGGCTAATTTTTGTATTTTTAGTAGAGACGGGGTTTCACCATGTTGGCCAGGCTGGTCTCGAACTCCTTACCTCAGGTGATTCCCCCACCTTGGCTTCCCAAAGTGATGGAATTACAGGCATGAGTCACCAAGCCCGGCCAAACCCAAACATTCTAAAAGCGGAGTAACCGTTCCCCTCCCCACCAAGGGTAACCAGCATCTTTGTTCTCCAACCAGAACAGCTGTATGCACCGGTGTATAAGCCTGCCTTAAGTGCTATTTTTAATCTTTTTTAAAAAACAGTCCTTAAAATAACTTGTGTACAGCTCCAGCGGCTGGCGGAGTGGGCCTAATATATTAAACAGTTGTTGTTTTGGTTTCTTTTTGGTAACAGCGACACAGAGATCCGCATTTGTTGCAGTTTCCACCGCAGGCCGGATGTGTAAACACAAGAAATACAAAAATAGCGCAACGGCTAAAGGAGTGTCCCAGCACGGCGCGCCAAACCAGGCGGGAACCGCGTAGGGCCGAGTCCCACCCGCCTGGGTTGCGGCCAAGACCCCTGCCCCACTTCAAAGCCCGCCGCGCCCCGCGTGGGGGGCGATATTCCTCGCTCCACCCTCCCGGAGGCGGTGCGGCTGAGCCCAGGACCCAATTGGAGGAGGCGGGGCCGGGCGCGTGCACGCGCACAAATGCCCGGATGCCCCGCGACGCCCGGCGCGCTTCCCTCGGGCGGTAGGGGGCGCGCACCGAGTCACCGCGGTGAGCTTGGCTGCTTGTGGGGCCTGTGCGGCCCTGTGTGTTGGGAAGATGGAGCAAGAAGCCGAGCCCGAGGGGCGGCCCCGACCCCTCTGACCGAGATCCTGCTGCTTTCGCCGCCAGGACACCCGTCCCTCCTAGGACTAGTGCGTTGGAGCGCCCAGTGCCTGGGCCCCGAGAGTGGAATGGTCCCCGAGGCCCAGGGCGTCGTGCTTCCGCGCGCCCCGTGAAGGAAACTGGGGACCCTCGAGGGACCCCCGACTCTAACCGCGAAAACCCCGAATGGTGTGAAGCAGGTACCGGCCCGGCAGCGAGCGGTCACTTCTGGGTCTGGGCTGTGACGGTTTTCCCACCATTGCTGGTTCCCAGACTCTGCCCTATCGCAGCCTTTGTGCCATTCGTGGCGGGGGGCTCGGGGCTCGGGGCACGGGACACGGGGCACGTGGCTTTGCGGAGGTTTTGTTGGACTGAGACGAGGCTGTCGCCGCCGGGGAGGAGGGCGGGGTTTCGGCCGGCTCTCGCGGCTGGGGGGCGGGTTCGGGGGGGGGGGGTCTCCACGAGAGTCTGGGGTAAAGGTCACGTGGGCGGGGGACTGCGGGGCCACCTCAGCGCGGGGGTCCGGATGATCGCAGGTGCCTGTCCGGTCGCCAGTTTGAACGTGGCGCGGAGTCTGGGCGGGATTGGGCCGGTTCCGTGGGCAGGTTGACTCAGCTTTTCCTCTTGAGCTGGTCAAGTTCAGACACGTTCCGAAACTGCTGTAAAAGGAGCTAAGCCCTGACTTGTCTCCAGCTGGGGCTATTTAAACCATGGATTGTCCCAGCTGTGTTCAGTGGCTATTGGAGGGTGGACCTGTGGGCACGGACGCACACTGCTTTTTCTCTACCGATCCAGGTAAGCACCGACTTCCTTGTAGCTTTAGTTTTAACAAAGGCGTTTATGTCCTTTATATATGATGTGTTTTTCACAGATATTTCATGATTTCCAGTTTTCATCATGTCTTTTTTTTTCCTCCTTGTAGGCAAATGTGCAATACCAACATGTCTGTACCTACTGATGGTGCTGTAACCACCTCACAGATTCCAGCTTCGGAACAAGAAACCCTGGTTGGTATTTTTGTCTGGTGTAACTTTAAGAATAATTTATGAGGTGATCAACTAAATTTCATATACCTCAATTGTAGCTTGGCTCTGTAAATGAAATTGTATGTGCATAGCTTAAAGTGTACTACCTCGGACATAATTGCGTGGAGTTAAAAACTGTTAACAATTGGTTCAGTATTTTATTAGCCCTTTGCCACATGGGCTTTAAAAATTAGTTCCATTACATTCTTAAGTGTGGTTGCTGAAGTTATATTTGTTATGTGATCCATTTTTTTCCTTTTTGATTTCCCAGTAGTTAATTTTTAAAAATGGTTTCTAAAAGTCACAAAAATTATTCATGCTTGTTGTAAAGATTTTAGTAATTAGAGAAATTTTAAAGTAAAACCTGAAAATTCCAGCCTTTTTGCTTCATGTTCCCTTTTAGATTTTTTCTATGTGCATATGCACATGTATTTACATTTGAATTTAAATCTGTTATTGTCACGTTTGTTGTACTAACAAGATAAAACTATAGGTGTTTTATGACTTACATCCTTGTCAATACAGTTTATGTAATTCTTTAAAATGGCTGCATAGTATTCCATAGCATGAGTATACCATTTTAAAAATTATGCCATTACTGATAAGTTTTTAAAAATTGCCTCCTGTTTTTGGGTATTACAAATAGTGTTGGTTTGTACATGAGTTCCATGTGACTCTATAAGAAAGATTTTATGGAATTATAGGCTGGGTGAGGTGACTCATGCTGTAATCTCAGTTCTTTGGGAGGCCATGGTGGGCTCACCTGAGATCAGGAGTTGAAGACTAGTCTGGCCAACATGGTGAAACCCCATCTCTACTAAAAATACAAAAATTAGTTGGGCATGGTGGCACTTACCTGTAATCTCAGCTGCTGGGGAGGCTGAGGCAAAGTCGCTTTAACCCGGGAGATGGATACACAATCTGTAGGAAAGGATGAAAATATTTACAGTCTGGCTCTTTACAGGAAAAAATTGACCCTGATCTAGTTGGCAGGCTCCTTGAATACAGGTCATATGTCTTATTTGTAATTTTTTTTTTTTTTTTGGCAGTACCTATCACTGTCCAGTGCATAGTAGAAGCTCAATAAATGTTTGTCAAGCAGATATTTGAAATGCAGACCAACTAAGAGGCAGCATGATATAGTAGGAAGAAAATGCTGAGTTGTAGTAGTCTCACTGTCACCCAGGCTGGAGTATAGTGGTGTGATCTTGGCTCACTGCAACCTCCACCTCCTGGGTTTAACTGATTCTCCTGCCTCAGCCTCCCGGCTAGCTGGGACTACAGGTGCATGCTACCACCATGCCCGTCTAATTTTTTTTTAATTTTTTTAGTAGAGACAGGATTTTACCTTATTAGCCAGGATGGTCTGCATCTCCTGACCTCATAATCTGCCCACCTCATCCGCCCAAAGTGCTGGGATTACAGGGGTGAGGCACCAGCCTGATCTCTTCTTAATTACCCTTGTCAGCTTGGGTTGGTTAAGTTCTCTAACCTTCAGGAACCTAATCTTTAGAAAGAGATGTTTGGTAACAGGATCCACTCTAAATATTTTTTCTTTTCTCTTGGATTCTCTAAGTTAGCTTGCAGTAAGCTCATTGGATCAGTACAGTAAGCTCATTAGATCTCAATAATTATGGTTGTTTGTAAGGCAGTAAGCAGGTGGTATAAATAGCTGAAGGAAAAAATAATCTTTGCTGTCTTGATACTTGATGATTCCATATTTGCATAATAATTAGATTCTCCCCAGCATTTTTCCAAACCCCCTTTATTGAACTTGATGGTATGTTTGTTGCAGGTTCTATAGTTCTGGAATAATTTTGGAAGTATAATAGCTCTTTTCTCTTTATAGGTTAGACCAAAGCCATTGCTTTTGAAGTTATTAAAGTCTGTTGGTGCACAAAAAGACACTTATACTATGAAAGAGGTAAGCTGAATCAAGAGATAACTAGTATCTTTAATAGTTACATATAGCCATACTAAAGTTTTCAAGACATGGGGAGAAATTTGCCATATAGAAGGATTTTTCATTAAGCAGCAACATTTAATTTTGTGGTCATTTGGACTATATTTAAAAGCTAAAAATTCTAATTATACTCAACTTTCATTTCTCAGCTAGGAACTCAGAGATAAAAGGAAGCCCTGTAGGGGTGTTTGACCATTTTATACTGTGAACCATTTGGTAGACTGGTAAAAGTCTTCTCACACTGGTAATTCCTTCTCAGAATCATGTTTTTAAATGTATGAAATAAAACGTATAGGATTACAAAGGAAACATATTAAAATACGGCTACCAAAATAGTGAACTAGTTTGTGATATATGTGCTTTTGTTATTAACACAATAAATACTAAGATTTAGAAGCAAATATAATATATATAATAATAATTATTTCTTTCAGTCAGAGTCTCACTCTGTCACCCAAGCTGGAGCACGATTTTGGCTTACTGCAACCTCTGCCTCCTAGATTCAAGCAATTCTCCTGCCTCACCCACCCACGTAGCTGGGATTATAGGTGCCTGTCACTACACCTGGCTAGTTTTTTGTATTTTTAGTAGAGGCAGGGTTTCACCATGTTGGCCAGGCTGGTCTTGAACTCCTGGCCTCAGCTGATCCACCCGCCTTGGCCTCCCAAAATGCTGGGATTACAGATGTGAGCCACCTCACCTGGCCAGTGAATATAATTTTGATATAGTCAGGAATGTAAGTGCCATTTTGAAATGTTTGTCATAAGCACAGTATGATATGAAAACACCTGTGATTTTTGTTAGTGATGAAATCACAGGTATTAATACTGTTGTGATTTGTTGCTTACATTTGTAATCTAAGGGAAAGCTAAATTTTAGTTAGAAGTTTGTGAAAATAAAGATATAATTATTTTTTCCCATCCAAATTAATGGACCCCCTGAATTCTATCCACGGACTTCTTGGGCATGCATGGATACCAGGTTAAGAACTTCTGCACTAGAGATACATGATTACAGTATACTGATCCTTCTGGGATAGAGATGAGCTGATTCATGACCATAGTTCTCTTTAATGGATACAGCATTTTAGTGCATTCTCTAGCTTTAAATTTGTGCACAGAGCATGATTTTCGGTGAGAGATTGAGCCACCTTAGGCAAAATTTCAGTGTGATTGAAATATGCCTGTTTTCCTTCTCTCCCACTTAGTTTATGGGACTCAGATTACTTGAAACATTAAAGTTTCTTTCTTACAATAGTATAGTGGGACAGGAAGAGCTTCCATATCCTTTTCCTCTCCAGCTACAGTTTTATAAACTTCCTTAAGGGATGTTTGGTAGAAAAAAATCTAGGTTCTCTTCCTTTTTCCTTTCCCACTGCTGGATAACAATCTGTCCAATCCACAATCACATAGAAATATCCCTTAAAGGTTGATGCTTGCTTGGCCAGTTAAATCCAAAGACAGTGCTTGTAGGGAAGTGCCAGGTGAAATGGTATTTTTAGGGCTAATTTGGGATTGACCTTATTATCATTATATAATCAGTTGAGGAAACAAAAATGTATGGATTTAGCAGTAGATGGAAATGAGAAAATTGGTCATAAAGACTTAGAATGCTGTGCTAAACTATGTACCAGTATTGTTTATATTGTCTGATAATAGTTCTCAGTTATAGGATCTTTGTTCTGGGGCACATGGGAAAGTAGTGAAAGCCAGTATGGGTAATATAAAGAGCATCAGACTGAGTCAGAAGACCTGGGGCCAGTTTCTTCATATCTTTTCTTTTTTTTTTTTTTTTTTGGTGACAGTGTCTCACTCTATTGCCCAGGCTAGAGTACAGTGTCTTGATCACTGTTCACTGCAACCTGGGCCTCCTGGTGATCCTCTCACCTCAGTGTCTAAAGTAGCTAGGAATACAGTCTTATACCACCATGCCCGGCTAATTTTTGTGTGTGTGTGTGTATATATATATATATATTTTTTTTTTTTTTTTGTAGAGATGGAGTTTCACTATGTTGCCCAGGCTGGTCTCTAACTCTTGGGCTCAAGGGATCTGCCTACCTTGGTCTCCTAAAGTGCTAGATTTACGGGCGTGAGCCACTGTGCCCAGCCCAGTTTTTGATTTCTAATACAGCGATAACAATTCTGTGAAATATCAGAATGAGAATATACTTGAAAAAGTACATTGTAATCTGTAAAATAACATGTATTTAGGTAGTTGTTAATAGGTTTATATCTGGGATCTCTTAAAGATGTATTAGGTATAGATGTAATAGGATACCTTGAAGCTGTATTGCCAACTTGTCTTAATGCAGTGCAGGGAATATAATTTAAATTTATAAATGGTTCAAAATCATTATTTTGATTATTATAATAAAGAGTAAATCGATATCTTTAAGGATTTATTTCTCACAGAATTCTCCCATACTGCTTTGTAGCTATCAGCTGTCATTGATTGTTTTTCTGTCTTCTTCCTCTGGTGACTTCAGAGGCTACTGAGGTTTTTTTTTTTTGTTTTTTTTTTTTGAGACGGAGTTTCGCTGTCATCCAGGCTGGAGTGCAATGGCGTTCTCTCAGCTTACTGCAACCTTCGCTTCCTGGTTCAAGCCTGCCTCAGCCTCCAAGTAGCTGGGATTACAGGCGCCTGCCACCACATCTGGCCAAGTTTTGTATTTTTAATAGAGACGGGGTTTTGCCACGTTGACCACGCTGGTGTCAAACTCCCACCCTTGTGATCCACCTGCCTTGACCTTCCGAAGTGCTGGGTTTACAGATGTGAGCCACCGCACCCTGCTGCCATTGAGGTTTATGGTGTTTGTGACTATTTACTAAGTGGCTCTGGTGTATTTTAGTTGATTTTTATTTCTGCAACTTTTTATAGCTATCAGTTTTTCATTTTGCTGTCTCTTCCCTACCTAATATGTTAGTATCTAGATATCTGGGAAGAGTTTACGTCTACAAGGAAAAAAAATCTCACATTTTAAGATTTAGTTAAGTAAAGAGAGAAGCAGTTATCTCTGCTTCCATCAGAGGAAAATTAAAAGAAAAAGGCTTAAAAGTAGCTTTTTTTTTGAGACAGAGCCTCTTTCTGTTGCCCAGGTTGGAGTGCAGTGGTGCAATCTCAGCTCTCTGTAGCCTCTGCCAGGTTCAAGCAATTCTCCTGCCTCAGCCTCCCAAGTAATTGGGACTACAGGCGTGCGCTGCCACATCAGGCTAATTTTTTTGTATTTTCAGTAGAGATGGGGTTTCACCATGTTGGCCAGGATGGTCTTGATCTCCTGACCTCATGATCCACCCGCTTCAGCCTCCCAAAGTGCTGAGATTACAGGCATGAGCCACCGCGCCCAGCCAAAAGAAGCTTATTTTAAGTACAGAATGGTGGTGGTTCTACATAGTTGTGGATATGGTTGCTGGAAGGCTTAAATTTGAGCCTTAGATACTTTGGACATCATTTTCATTGTCACCTATCATATGGCACTTAACCAGCAGAATTTAACTTATTCAGATGAATAGGATATTGTTGACTGTATTTTAAACTAACATTTAGTTTTCTTTAATGCTCAGAAATCATATTTCTGTTTCAGGTTCTATTTTATCTTGGCCAGTATATTATGAATAAACGATTATATGATGAGAAGCAACAACATATTGTATATTGTTCAAATGATCTTCTAGGAGATTTGTTTGGTGTGCCAAGCTTCTCTGTGAAAGAACACAGGTAATTCTTCAATTTAGTCCATTGTAAAAAGACAGTTGGGCTAACATTTCACTTCACCTCTATCCTCACTCCCTTTTGTCAGAGAAAAACTGTTAAAACATATAAAAAACATGCTGAAATGTAATTTCTTAGTTCTGTAGCATATTATTTGAGAACCTGAGCTCTGGCATCTTATAAACCTGCATTTGAAATCTAGCCCAATCATTTACTAGTTTTGTGACTAGATAGATTAATCTCTTTAAACCTGTTTCCCTATTTATAAAATAGGGATAATTAAATACCTCATGTGGAGGTTATAGCTCTTTTTTATTTTTTTGGAGATGGAGTCCTGCTGTTGTCAGACTGGAGTGCAATGGCACGATCTTGGTTCACGGCAACCTCTGCCTTCCGTGTTCAAGCGATTCTGCTGCCTCAGCCTCCTGAGTAGCTGAGATTACAAGCATATGCCATCACGCATGGCTAATTTTTGTATTTTAGTAGAGACAGGGTTTCACATGTTAGCCAGGATGGTCTTGATCTCCTGACCTCATGATCTGCCTGCCTCAGCCTCCCAAAGTGTTGGGATTACAGGTGTGAGCCACTGTGCCTGGCCAGTTAATTCTCTTAAAGAGAGACATTGTATAAAAAAGCATAGTGTTTGTCACATACAAAGCATTCATACTTTAGCTATAGCTATTATATATTATAAATTTTTATTCCAGTCACTTCCAGAAACAGTCCTTATACCACCAAGTGGTAAAGGCTTAAATTTAGCTTTAGTTACTTTGGAAATCATTTGCATTTTCACCTATCATTATGGCACTTAACCAGCAGAATTTAACCCAGGTAATACTTCTAGACTTAGGCCAGCTGTGGTGGCTCACACCTGTGTCCCAGTACTTTGGGAGGCTGAGGCGGTTGGATCACCTGAGGTCATGAATTTGAGACCAGCCTGACCAACATAGAAAAACCTCATCTCTACTAAAAATACAAAATTAGCCAGGCATGGTGGTGCATGCCTGTAATCCCAGGTACCCCAGAGGCTCAGGCAGGAGAATGCTTAAACCAGGGAGGCGGAGGTTGTGGTGAGATGAGATCATGCCGCTGCACTCCAGCCTGGACAACAAGAGGGGAAACTCTGTCTCAAATGAAAAAAATATATATATATAAAAATACATAAATATATAAAAATGTTTTATATTTTTATATAAAAAATATATATAAATACATAAATATTTATATATGTATTTAATGTATTTCTAGAATTTTTTTTTTTTTTTTTTTTTTTTTTTTTTGAGGGGGTCTTTCTCTTACACCCAGGCTGCAGTGCAGTGGCACGAACGATCTCAGCTCACTGCAACCTCCACCTCCTGGGTTCCAGTGATTCACCTGCCTCAGGCTCCCGAGTAGCTGGGATTACTGGTGCCCACTACCATGCCCAGCTAATTTTGTATTTTGGTAGAGGCAGGGTTTCACTATGTTGGCCAGGCTGGTTTCAAACTCCTGACCTCAAGTGATCCACCTGCCTCCACCTTCCAAAGTGCTGTGATTATAGGCGTGAGCAATTATGCCCAGCCTCTAGAATTATTCTTTTGGGAACTGAATGTTTTTTCAGTCATTCTTATCTTACATTTGGAATTCTTTTTTTTCTCCTTTTCTTGAGACAGAGTTTTGCTCTTGTTGCCCAGGCTGGAGTGCAGTGGCATGATCTCGGTTCACTGCAACCTCCGCCTCTGGGTTCAAGTGATACTCTTGCCTCAACCTTCTGAGTAGCTGGGATTACAGGTGCCTGCCACCACATATTTTTAGTAGAGATGGGGTTTCAACAATGTTGGTCAGGCTGATCTCAAACTCCTGACCTTAGGTGATGTGCCTGCCTCGGCCTCCCAAAGTTCTGGGATTAAACGTGTGAGCCACTGTGTCCGGCCTGCATTGGGAATTATCACATTTGGTTTAGCACAGGCAATACGTGTTGAGCCTTAGCATTCATTCCATGAATAAACAGAATGAATACTTTCACCTGAAACAATTAACTCGCTTCTGCTAGTATTTAATGGTCAATAGCATAGCTGAAAAGATGACAATTATATGGGATTTTATTTTATTTTTATTTAAAAAAAAAAACTTCCTCAGTTGAGCAGGGGATTTTATAGCTTTAAAACAACTTCATTATCATACACATAGTATATATTTATTACCAAACACTAGGAAATGACAGAAAGCTAAGAAAAGTAAAGGAAAAAAGGGATTAAAGTGTGTTACCAAAAGGTATTTTTACCAGTCATTTGTATGCTATATGCAGTTGTGTGTTTTAAACTACTTATGAATATGTTTAATTTCACCTAGCTTCTTAATTTAATGATATAAGCATTTTTTCATTGATGCATCACTTCTGTTTAATATCCATATATGTTGTCATTTATACTTGACCTTTGGATATATGATTTAATTTTATAAATTTTTTTTAAAAACTATATTGGTATATTGGTGTTTTTTTTTAACCTGTTGAATATAGAATCTTTTTTGTTGTTGTTTTTTGAGACAGAATCTTGCTCTGTTGCCCAGGCTGCAACCTCTGCCTTCTGGGTTCAAGAGATTCTCTTGCCTCAGTCTCCTGAGTAGCTGGGATTACAGGCGCATGCTACCATGCCCAGCTAATTTTTTTTTTTTTAATCTTGGATTTGTGATAAAACCAGCTAATGTTTTGTATTTTTAGTAGAGATGGGGTTTCACCATGTTGGCCAGGCTGCTGTTGAGCTCCTGACCTCAGGTGATCTGCCCAACATGGCCTCCAAAAGTGCTGGGATTACAAATGTGAGCCACTTAGTGCCCAGTCTGAATATTGAATCTTCTGATAATGTTTGGAAGTATAGTTGCCTTGGACTTGAATTCTAAATGTTGAGAGACAAGACATTGGAGAAATTACTGACTTGAAAAGGATATGAATGAGAAATATTTTGGGTTTAGGTTGCTGTACCCTTATTTCCAAGGGTGAAAAAGATAGTTGGGATTCATATTTCATCTTAACATTGAGTGAGGAACAATTTTTGTGACATCCTCTCAAATTCTTAGTTTAAAAACAAAAGAAAAGAAAAATCCACTGTGACATCAATGAATACTGGGGTAAATGAATTATCTTCCTGTTAGGACATAAACTTCATCGGGGCAAATACGTTTTTGTTTCATTCTTTGTTTTCCCAGTGTCTGCTACATAGTACCAGTGACTAGTACTTGGTAGGTGTTCAGTCTGTATTTATTGAATGAATGAGTACTACTTTATCTGTTAATAAGTTTTAAGATCAAGAAAGGAAGTTGAAGCTTGATGAAAGTCAGTCAAATTCCTATTTAATGGATTTTGCATAACTCAATACTTTTTTTGGCAGTTGGCTACTAAGCATAGAGCTAAAAACATTCCTGTTTGAAAATAAGTACATTAGGTTGGGCACAGTGACTCGTGCCTGTAATCCCAGCACTTTGGGAGGCCAAGGCAGGTGGATCACTTGAGGCCAGGAGTTTGAGACCAGCCTGGACAACATGGTGAAACCCCATCTCTACTAAAATAAAAAAAAAAAAAAATTAGCTGGGTGTGGTGTCCTGTAATCCCAGCTACTCGGGAGGATGAGGCAGGAAAATCACTTGAACCTGAGAGGCGGAGGTTGCAGTGAGCAGAGATCGCACCATTGCATTCCAGCCTGGGAGACGAGGGAAACTCCGTCTCAAAAAAGAAAAAAAATATACGTTAAATTGCTTCCTGCTTGCACATCCATTGTTTGGGGTCTTCTAGTAAAGTCCAAACAAGCGCATTTCAGGAATTGGCAGTGTGAAATCTTTCAGCTGGGGAGACTTTAGTGATTATTAAAAGCAGCTGTATGTAATCATTGTGCTACTAATTACTGTGCTTTTAAGTGCCTACAAGCTTGCCAGTGATAAAATTGGTTTTGAATGTGTGCATTAGTAGTTCATACTAAATATGTATGTAAAAGTCTGGTTAAGTCCAGCTTAATACATTTTTCTTTTGAAATGTACAACTCCTGATTTTTTTTTTTCTGTCTACAAGGAAAATATATACCATGATCTACAGAAACTTGGTAGTAGTCAATCAGCAGGGTAAGTTAATTTTGAGTATCATGAATAAATACCATAAAAACATTTTAAAGATATTTTTGTTTATGTGCATATATTTTATAATGGCGATTCTCTTTAAAAGTTGCTTTAATTAAATATTCTAAAAATATGATGAATTTATTAGACTTATGAACTAAAATAACATTATACTGAGGTTCTAATGTAAAGTTAAATATCCTGTTATATCAATTTAAGCCTTGGGATGTCAGAGTTAGGATTTGTATTGAAATGTCTGTAATTTCAAAAGCTCCTGTTTAGGAGTGATCTACCTTGAAAATGTATTGAAAGGCTTTGAAAAATAATACAGTTACCTACGTAGGACCATGTGTAAGGATGAGTCTTCTTTGGTTATACACAAAATTTTGTTTACCAGTTTGTGGAAGTAGAATTTTATGTCCCTGCTTCCAGTTCTTAACTGGTTATTTTTGGGCTACATCTCTCTTTAATAAGCTGATAAATGCATTGGGTTCTTGTTCCAGAAAGGTGGCACATATATGTGTGTGTGTGTGTGTGTATACACACACACACGGATAGTTGATAAATATTTCACAACCTACTTTCCATGAGAAAAGCTCTGATTTATGTGCTTGCTGACTTCCCTAGTATAATACTCTAATTTTTAAGGCTAAAAATGTAGAGTTGGAAAGAGATGTGCACTTTTTTTTTTTTTTTTTTTTGAGACGGAGTCTCGCTTTGTCACCCAGGCTGGAGTGCAGTGGCACGGTCTCAGCTCACTGCAACCTCCGCCTCCTGAGTTCAAGCGATTCTGCTGCCTCAGCCTCCCGAGTAGCTGGGATTACAGGGGTGCACCACCATGCCCAGCTAATTTTTGTATAGAGACAGGGTTTCACCATATTGACCAGGCTGGTCTTGAACTCCTGACCTTGTGATCTACTGCCTTGGCCTCCCAAAGTGCTGGGATTACAGGCATGAGCCACCCTGCCCGGCTTCACAGCTGGTTGGAGCTGTCTGTAATACACTACACCCCTCCTAAAGCCCATTCTCAAACTACAGTTAAATGCTCTTAGGCCAGGTGTGATGGCTCATGTCTATACTTCCAGCACTTTGGGAGACTAAAGCAGGAGGATCGCTTGAGCCCAGGAATGCAAGACCAGCCTTGGGCAACATAGTAAAACCCTGCCTCTGCAAAAACTAGAAAAATTAGCCTGGTGTGGTGGTGCATGCCTTTAGTCCTAGCTACTCGGGAGGCTGAGGCAGGAGGATTGCTTGACCCTGGGAGATCAGGGCTGCAGTGAGCTGTGATCATGCCATTCCAGTCTGAGTGACAGAGCGAGATGTCATCTCATCTCTTAAAAAAGACAAAAACAGAAAAACACCTGTCGGAAGCTTGTTTAGTTCCTAGCATGAATTGACTTCCTCTATTCCATATTCAGATTTTATTGTAAAATTGCTTTGTTATACTGGTGTGTCTGTCTTTTTTTTTTTTGAGACAGGCTGTCACTCTGTCACCCTGCTTGAAGTGCAGTGGTGTGATCTCGGCTCACTGTATCCTTCACCTCTGGGTGAATCAAATGATCCTCCCCCTCAGCCTCCCGAGTAGCTGAGACTACAGGTGTGCTCTACCACACCTGGCTAGTTTTTCTGTATGTTTGGTGGAGACGGTGTCTTGCTGTGTTACCCAGGCTAGTTTCAACCTCCTGAGCTCAAGCCTCCCAAAGTGTGAGGATTACAGGTGTGAGCCACCATATCTGGTTGTTGTACTTGCTTATACCTTTGTTATCTATGTCTTAATTCAGGTTTGCATTCTGCATCATACAGTATTGTGTTTTACTAATATGGTATTTGATAAATGTGTTGAATTGAATACGTATTCTTCCAAAGTTAGGATTTAAAGCCCAGAAAAGTATCTCCATTTTATCCCAGCACAAAAGTAGTTATTAGGCTGATGATTTGGCATTTTATTGTTTTAAAGCTCTTTATGAAGTTGTATGATAGCTAAATATACAATTATAGCATTTGTATTAGTATTTTGAGTTTTCTGAAGTATGTATCCCTGATGTATTCATTCCTTCATTTGTTTAAATAAACTGGCACATTACTAGAAAAATTGTATTATTGAGATGGGAACTTATAAATTACTTATTTGCATTCTGAGTTTGATTTAGATATCAGTAGAATTAACTTCAGAGCTTCTATTCCATGTTCTCAACTTAGTCACATCTAGTGCTTCTTTTTTTTTTTTTTTTTTTTTGTCACCCAGGCTAGAGCGTAGTAGCGCAGTCTCGGCTCACTGCAACCTCCACTTCCCAGGTCTAAGCGATTCTCCTACCTCAGCCTTCCAACTAGCTAGGAATACAGGCACCTGCCACCATGCCCAGCTAATTTGTGTATTTTTTAGTAGAGATGGGGTTTTACCATGTTGACCAGGCTGGTCTCAAACTCCTGACCTCAGATGATCCTTCCACCTGAGCCTCCCAGAGTGCTGAGATTACAGGCGTAAGCCACCATGCCTGGCCTTAGATTTCCTTTTTATTATATCTTTTTTGCAGCATCTCGTTATACTAGTCCAAATTTCCTGGATAATATAATCTATTATGTATAACTTAAGAAAATCAGTGTAATGCCTTACCCATAGTATAAAGAGAAAATTTATACATGATAATGCATAATTTCAAAATGTTAATGGCCCAGGCGTGACTTTGCTATTAAGATGAATATATTTCCAAAGGGGTAGTAAAGAGTATTTGGTGATTATTGTCTGTATATCCCAAATCTAAAACTTTCACTTTTGAGCTCTGAGTCTGCATATCCAATGACAGATGAAACCCATGTGTCTCAATAACTCAGTTTGTTATCTTCCCATCCAATCTGTTTATCTTTCTAAAGTTCCTCTTTTAGTGAATGATACCACTCATTTATTCACCCAAGGTAGAATATGTCTTAACTCCTTTCTTCCTTGCATTGTATATCGGATACCAGGTCTTGCTAGATTTTACCTATTTAATTTCTCCGGAATTTATCTTTTCCATGCCTTAGTTTAGGCTTAAATACTTTTTAGTTTGTATTATTGCAGTTGTCTAATATTGGTTTTCCTGTCTCTGCCCTCTTTTTCTTTTATTTTGCCAGAGTGATTTGTCACTCTTGTGCTTAAAATTACCATATAGGGGTTCATTATTGCCCTCTGGACATACTATTTTCTGTGAGCTAGAAATCAGTTTTATTTCTTGGACTAAAACTCTTTTTAATAGTGACCGGCTGCAGCAGTTGCCTTAGGGAAGATTCTGAAGTATCTGCTGGAAGAATGCAGTCATGAGGGAATGACGGCATGAGTCCTGCTTTGGCTAGATGCACAGGATCCTTTACAATCTGAACCTGACTACGTTCCAGTAATAATGAACTGGTTGTGGTTTACTGCAACAGGAACTGTTAGTTTGCTTTTGGATACTTTTTCATATGGCGTTTTTCTGGTCTGGAATGGCCTTTCCTAGCCCTATTTTCACATTATTCTACAAAATATTCCTGATTCTTTGCTCCTCAGACCCTCCCTGTTTCTGCGGAGTAATGTCTGTCTGTCTGTCTGCTAATTTATTTTATCATCTTTTAATGTCTTTAATTATATTTTACTCTTCTACATTAAAGTTGAATTATTTTATTTACATCTGCAACATTTAGTGTGAAGGTGACACCTGGGAAATACATGTTTAATGTTTATTAAAAGGTTAAATTGCATAAGGATTTTTGTTAGACTTATAGCATTATCTACTGAATAGCCTTCTCTCCTCCCTACCAACCCCAGTTTCTGATTCTTTGTTTTTCTTTTTCTCAGAATCATCAGACTCAGGTACATCTGTGAGTGAGAGCAGATGTCAGTTTGAAGGTGGGAGTGATCAAAAGGTAATCTTTAAATAAGTTTTTCTTTCAAGTATGATATTATTTGAAAATTAGAAAGGCTATTTACAACAAATGAGTTGGCTTACTGGTTATGTTTAGTTTGATGTATTTTATTTTTTTCTTGAATGTTTAGGACCCTGTGCAAGAGCTACAGGAAGAGAGACCTTCATCTTCACATTTGGTTTCTAGACCATCTACCTCATCTAGAAGGAGAGCAGTTAGTGAGACAGGTATACATGAATATTTATTTGACACATTCACACAGCTTTTGATGTTCTTTCTCTAATGAAATTAGTGCTTTTAGACTTAATTATTCCCCTTTTTTGGTTGAGATGAATGAACTTCTGAGTTTTTTTCATTACTTAGCAGTATTTTTCTGGCTGACCATGACAGGCCCAGTTTACTCTGTCCCACTGGAGTTTATAGTTAGCCAGTTCTCTATTAAGAAAATGGGAGACAGGTGTATAAACTCTATTTTCACCATTATTCTTAGTCACCTTAGCAGTTAAATTTTTACACTTGATCTTAGCCAAAAGGCCGAGAAGTGATAGCAGTTAAATTTTTTAATTGTTTATAATAAATGATAATACATACCTATGAGTTTTAAACAAAAAGTAAATAGCATTTTCGAAATGAAGAGATAAAGAAAATAGTTGAGAACAGTTAGAGGAGAATGCTGTGCCTAAGGAAGTCACAGTAAATAAAACTGTATGATTCAGATGAAAGAGAATATCAGATCAGTGATATAGAATAAATGAACCTAGACCAGAATCTTGTACATGTGGGCAGAAGACAGGAAGGGCAGAGGTGGGACTAGAACAAATGGGTAGTTAATTTGGGGAAAAGGTAAAATGACATCTGTACCTTATGCCAAAATGAATTTCAAATGAGTTTAAAAGATAAATGAAAAATAGAATACAACGTATTTGAAAGACAGGTAGTCACTTTAAATTTGACTATTAATATCTGAATTACATAAATCTCCTCCCCAAATCAATAATGAAAACATTAAAAATTCAGATAGCTAAAAGGGCAGGCAGTTCACAAAAATTTCTTACAGTAAATACAAATGACTAATAAATATGGGGAGAGGGTGAATTTTGGAGATTTTAGCTTTACAGATAGGAAAAATGCAAAAAGGTATCCTTTTTGGTCTATCAAATTGTAGCAAAGATAAATTTTTACTCATCCTGTGTATTAGCACTGATGCACTATTGGTCTATAAATTGGTATAAGTTGGTATAAATTGATTAATTTTTTTGGATTATAAAAAGGCTTTAATGGCCTGGTACAGTGGCTCACATCTATAATCCCAGCAGTTTGGAAGGCTGAGGCAGCCAGTAGATCTCTTGAGGTTAGGAGTTTGAGACCAGCCTGGCCAATGTGGTGAAACCCCATCTCTGCTAAAAACACACAAATTAGCTGGGTGTGGTGGCCAACACCTGTAATCCCAGCTACTCGGGAGGCTGAGGCAGGAAAATCGCTTTAACCTGGGAGGTGGAGGTTGCAGTGAACCAAGATTGTGTCATTTTACTCCAGCCTCGACGACAGAACAAGACTCCATCTCAAAAAACAGAAAAGCTTAGAGTTCTTAACATTATCATAGTAATTCCACTTCTAGGAATCTATCCTAAGGATATAATACAAAATTCAAAGAGTTATATATAGAGATATTAATTGCAGCATTATTGTAATTGCTGCCTGGCCAAGATCACCTTTTTTAAAATAGGGAATACAAACATGATTAAGAACTCACATGCAGAACTTGTGATCTAGTTGGAGATAAAACATAAAAATCCTTATTGGGATGTAAGAGTATTTGGAGAATTCACAGGAAGAGGAGATGACTTTAATTAGATAGGCCAAGAGAGGGAAATGGAATGAGCAAAGGTGTGAGAGTTTTACCTGTTTCAGGCATATGGATAATATTTAATAGCATAACCGTATTAAATACTTACATATAAGGGTACAGTGAACACCTTTGCACATATATCCTTAACTTTTATGCTCTAGGATAGAGAAATTGCCTGCAGAATGTTGTGTGATGTTATATTCTTACTGTATAAAAATGCTCTTTCTCAAATCTTTGATACTACCTCATTTTAATTTTTGTCATTCTCTTGGGTGAAGAAATGATATCACTTCACTTTGCATTTCCTTGATCCCTAGGACATAGGAGATTTTTTTTTCCATTACTCAAGTACATGACTCAAGGTTTTTCATATGTTTATTAGTCATTTGTATTTCCCCTGTGACTTGCTTTTTCCTGTTTCTTACTTTAAAAAAAAATCCAGTCCATCTTGATTTGGTATAACTTTGTATAATCTGGATATTTTTTATTATATATGTTGCAGATATTATCTTCGCATCTGACCTATGCCTTTTAACTTTTGTTTATGGCATTTTATTTTGCCATGTAAATCTTGACATGTCTAATCTTCATAGTCTTTTTCTTGAGGGCTTTGCAGTATTATGAAATACTTTCCCACCCAGTATTTTTTGAGATGGAGTCTCACTATGTTGCCCAGGCTGGAGTGCAGTGGCACGATCTCGGCTCACAGCAACCTACTTCCTGAGTTCAAGCGATTCTTCTGCCTTAGCCTCCCAAGTAGCTGGGACTACAGGGGTGCACCACCACTCCTGGCTAATTTTTGTATTTTTAGTAGAGGCCAGGTTTCACCGTATTGGCCGGGTCTCAAACTCCTCACCTTGTGATCCACCCGCATTGGCGTCCCAAAGTGCTGGGATTATAGGCGTGAGCCATCGTGCCCGGCAAGAATATTTTCTTACAGGTACTTGAATGGTTTTGTTCTTTATATTTAGTTCTTTAATCCACCTGTAATTCATTTTTATGTCTAGTATAAGTTAGAACTCTGATTTATGTCCAGCAGATTTGGCTAATATTCTGACCCATTCAGAGGTAATTTATTTAAAATAAAATGGACAGTTTTTACTGGTTTTGATTTCTGTTGAAAATACAGAGTACTGAAGAGCCGGGCTCAGTGGCTCATGCCTGTAATCACAGCACTTTGAGAGGCTGAAGCGGGGGAATCACTTGAGGCCAGGAATTGAGACCAGCCTGGCCAACATGGAGAAACCCTGTCTCTACCAAAAATAAAAAAAATTATCCGGGCATGGTGGCGTGTGCCTATAATCCCAGCTACGTGGAGACTGAGTCACAAGAATCGCTAGAACCTGGTAGGCGGAGGTTGCAATAAGCCAAGATTATACCGCTGCACCCCACCCTGGGTGGTAGAGAGTGACTGTGTCACAAAAGAAAAAAATGTAGGGTACTGAAGAAATTGAAACATTAAGAATGCCTTATAAGTAAATTAAACACTTTGGCTCTTTTGGGGAAAAAAAGATTGGCTCTTATTTTAAAGTTTGGTTTTGACAGAAAAAAAAATCCTGGATTGGTTAATAGAAACTTTTATTAGATGGATTGAATTGTGATGTGTGGAGATAAAGTTCTGAAAGAAGAATAGAAAGCCTTTAAAAAATAGTGTTGTCAGCCTAGGCAACATGGTAAAACACTGTCTCTACAAAAAATACAAATATTAGTGAGGTGTGGTGGTACATTCCTGTGGTCCCAGCTACTTGGGAGGCTGCTGTTGAGGTGGAAGGATCACTTGAGCCTACAAGGCAGAAGTTGCAGTGAGTCGAGATTGTGCCATTGCACTACAGCCCGGGTGACAGAGTAAGACCCTTTATCATAAAAAAGTACGTAAACAAATAAATAAATACACACATACAGTTAGTGTTCTACTGTAACTCTTAGATTGAATAAAACTGTTAACTTTTGAGATTAATTTTATTACAATTAAGTTTCTGTACAAATAGGGACTCAAAACAGCTCAATTTTCTAAATCACAGCACAGCAATTTATTTTTTTTTCCTTACATATCCAGAAGAAAATTCAGATGAATTATCTGGTGAACGACAAAGAAAACGCCACAAATCTGATAGTATTTCCCTTTCCTTTGATGAAAGCCTGGCTCTGTGTGTAATAAGGGAGATATGTTGTGAAAGAAGCAGTAGCAGTGAATCTACAGGGACGCCATCGAATCCGGTAATGTTCTCATTTTCAAGGACTCTGTTACAGTCTAGTCCTGGCAGTCCTAATAAGCATATCAATAGAATATACATGTGTCTTATGAGATTGATGCAAAACACGGTGCTAAATTTTACTTTAAAATAAAACTACTATATTGATCTCTACCTTCAGCCCCAGGTATTGTGAGAAATGTGGAAAATAGTGGAGTAACATTGGTATTGGTAAAATAGTAGTAGTATTAGTCATTATCAGTGTCACTCTGTATTAGAGAATATTTGTGGATGACTGCACCAATAGTACATTAAATAAATTGGAGAGTTGTTTGAGAAATTTGAAGTTGTACTTTTTAAAAAATAAAGGAACAAAACCAAAAATTTAGTTCAGTTAACTGTATTAGCATTTTAAGGCAAATTTGTCTTGACTGTTTAGAGTAAAAATACCTTTAATTACAGCCATCAGCGTAGTCTGAGCTTAACATTTGCCAAATAGGTCTAGACATCAGGTAAATTCTATTTACCAACACTGTGAAATACAGGTTTATTATTGCATGGATGACAGGAGAGTATTGGTACTTTCTGATGACTAATACAGAATTCCAGAATCTTAGTGAGCAGAATTTCTTGAGTTGTCACTGAAAGAAGTTCGGTAAAGAATTTTTTTGTTAACAAGTATGCTTGACAAATGGAATATTTTCGTTTGTATGTCTTTAAACAAGTTTGTCCAACCTACGCCCTGTGGGCCATATGGCGGGATGGCTTTGAATGTGGCCCAACACAAATTCATAAACTTTCTTAAAATATTATAAGATTTCTTTTCTTACAATTTTTTTTTCCTCATTCATGAGCTGTTGTTAGTGTTAGTGTATTTTACGTGTGGCCCAAGGCAATTCTTCTTGCAAGATTGGATACCTTTTGGAAACCAAAAGATTGGATACCTTTCTTGGTAATGTGGCAGTGTCTCATGGTCATTATTCTGGATATTGGTAATCATTGTGTAGGTCTCTAGAAGATGTGGGAGATGGAATCAATTGTGATAGTAATCCTAGCCTTTTACCTTGTACCTATTCTTGTTACTTCCTGTGTTATCTTTCTATTTTTCTCTTCCAAAGGAGTGACTGTATGAATGCATACCTGCCCTCTAGAGTTAGTACTGTATTTAACAGAGCTGTTACTCATGTGGACCGCTAGATGGCAGGATGAGCCCCTGCTCAGTCTGAGAGCAGGTTCTTCATTTGTAGATATTTAAGTTTATACCAGATTCCATAAAGTTGAGATGGCACTGGAGAGACAGTGGTAGTCAAAGTAGATATGGTTCTTGCCTTTAGGGGGAGATAGATCATTAATGATAAAAATGAAAACATTTAATAAATCCAGTGAAGAAAACAGGTTCTCGAGAGCAAGTATGTGTGATCTGAAAATTAGATCCAATTAAAACTTGATGAGTACACAAACTACAAGTTTGGTTAAAAAGATAATTACTATATCCTATCTATTTATTTATTGAGATTGAGTCTTACTCTATTGCCGTGGCTGGAGTGCAGTGGTGCAATCTTGGCTCACTGCAACTTCTGCCTCCTGGGCTCAAGCGATTTTCGTGTCTCAGCTTCCTGAGTAGCTGGGATTACAGGCGCCTACTGCCTTGCTCTGCTAAGTTTTTTACTTTTAGTAGAGACGAGGTTTCACTATGTTGGCCAGGCTGGTCTTGAACTCCTGACCTCAAGTGATCTGCCCGCCTTGGCTACCCAAAGTGTTGGGATTACAGACTTGAGCCACTGAGCCCAACACCCTATTTAATGTATAGTCTTTTTTTTCTTTTTTGTTTTTATTTTATTTTTTTAACGTATAGTCTTTTGTTAAAGTTATATCAGAATTCTAGCTGAATGATATTTGGAGTCTTTGTTCTTGCTTTGTACCTGGACACTGCCTTGTGACTGATACAGCTTTGATGAGTGGAAGAGCACCAGGTTTTCTGTTTTGAGTTGAATTAGATAAAACAACATGGACACATGTGGAGTGGTTTTAAGGAGTGGAGAGTTTAATAGGCAAGAAGGAGAAGGCAGAAGGAAGAAGCTCCCCCTTAAAGAGATGAAAGAGGAGACCTCACATTCTGAGGATACCAGCCAGTTTTCTGTAGTGGCTCAGGGGATTGATTTAACCAGGCATGATATATATGTAGCCCTCGAGAAAACTGGCCCTCCCACCCCAGTCCTTTAAGATGCAAATGCAGGGCACCAGTGCTGTTTTACATTCATAGGGAAATGGGGGGGGCATGTTGTTAGGCACAGATCCTGGCAAGGGCAAGAGGCTGGGGCTTTTAGGCTAGACAAGGTACATTTTTGGAGCAGTGGAAAAATCTTCTTAAGGACCTCTTTTCCTTTATTTCTTAGTAAATAAAGGAAACCACATTATCTGAGTTGAGTAGAACAGTAATTCTTTTTTTCTTTTTGTTAGCCCAGTCCTGAATTCTCTTAAAAAATCCTATCTGTTAAAAATGTCTCGTTTTCCAGGCTAAGTCCCTAGTTGTGAAAGCTTTTAGTAGGGCCAGTTTTTTTTTTTTTTTTCTTCCTTAATTATAATTTCCCTCATTTGGGAATGTGGTAGTCATCACTGGGTGTTATTCACCAGTTTGTGAAAGTGCATTCCTCTCCCATCTTTTCTTTCTTTGGGGTTTAAGAAATTGTGGGAAACTAAGACTGTTCTAGACTGTATTCCATGCAGTTTAGATGATGATCTTTTGTTATAGCTAAGACTGGGGGTTTTTAATAACTTGCTTCTACAACTGTCATAATTGAAACTGAAACAATTCTAGGTATTTCTGACTACAAAAATCTAAGATCTGGCTGAGCATGGTGGGTTATGCCTGTAATCCCAGCACTTTGGGATGCCAAAGTGAGCGGATCACGAGGTCAAGAGATCGAGACCATTCTGGCCAACCTGGTGAAACCCCATCTCTACTAAAAAAAATACAAAAATTAGCTGGGCGTGGTGGTGCACGCCTGTAGTCCCAGCTACTTGGGAGGCTGAGGCAGGAGAACTGCTTGAACCAGGGAGGCAGAGGTTGCAGTGAGCTGAGATCGTGCCACTGCATTCCAGCCTGGCACCTGGCGACAAAGCAAGACTCTGTCTAAAAAAAAAAAAAAAAAAGAAGAAGAAGAAGAAACAAAAATCTAAGATCTGTGCAGAGCTAGCCTATCTGATGCTTTTCTTTTTATTTTTTATTTTTGAGACAGTCACTCGCTCTTGTTGCCCAGGCTGGAGTGCAGCAGCATGTTCATGGCTTACTGCAACCCCAACCTCCTGGGTTAAAGCAAACCTTCCTCCTCAGCCTTGAGAGCTGGGACTACAGGTGTGCACCACCACACCTGGCTAGGTTTTTTTTTTTTTTTTTTTTTTTTTTTTTTTTTTACTTTATTTTTTTTTTCTTCCAGAGATGAGGTCTCAGCCTGTTTTCCAGGCTGGTCTGACATTGCTGGGCTTAAGTGATTCCCCTGTATTGGCTCCCAGAGTGTTGGGATGACAGGTATGAGCCACCACTCCCAGCCTGATGCTTTTGAAGCTTACGGTATTTAATAGTTTCTGTGGCATTCTTTTGTGAACATTAGCCAAAACTTTTTAAAACCACTCCCAATTGCATTTTTTATAGTACTGTAGGACAGGAGTTGGCAGACTTTCTGCAAAGAGCCAGATAGTTAAATATTTGGGCTCTGCAGGGCCATGTTTTCTGTCACAGCTACTGAGCTTCACTCTTGTAACGCAGGAGCATCCATAGACAACAAGTAAACACATAGGTATGGCTGTGCTCAATCTCTTTATTAATACAAATAGATGGGTGATGGGCCACAGGTGCAGACCCCCACCATGGAGTATGTTTTCTGAGACTTAATGTTTCTAGTGATTTACCCCCTTATTCTAAAATTAGGGCACTAAGAACTTTAGTTAGTTGAAGTATTTGGTTTGCTGGGTTACTTTGTTAGAGATGTTAATTGTATCCTAACTTGACTTGTGATTCTAACCTGATTGTCAGCAGAGCCCTTGTTAGGAATTAGAGCTGAAGCTTGATTAATGTTGTTTTTACTACTCTTTCCTGACATGACTCTACAAAAGTCTTTTGACCTCAGAGGCCATAAATAATATACTTTGTTTCTGTTTTTAGAACTGACATAGATATGGAAGTCATTTAATCTAAACTCCTTTTCTAGATGAAGTAGCTATAGCCTTTAGAAGTTAAATGATCTGGGCTGGGCACAGTGGCTCATGGCTGTAATCGCAGTACTTTGGGAGGCTGAGGTGGCTATCACTGTGGAGGTCAGAAGTTCAAGACTAGCCCAGCCAACATGGTGAAACCCCATCTCCACTAAAAATATAACAATTAGCCTGGTGTGGTGGTGGATGCCTGTAATCTCAGCTACTTGGGAGGCTGTGGCAGGAGAATTGCTTGAACCCCAGAGGTGGAGGTTGCAGTGAGACTGGAGCTCCATTGCATTCTGGCTTGGGCAACAGAGTAAGACTGTCTCCAAAAGAAAAGAAAAAAAAAAAAAAAAAAAAAAAGCTAATTGATGTACTTAAATTAGCTACATAGTGGCATGTGTAGAATAAGTCATATCCTGACTGCCAGACTTTTTTCAGCTATAGCCTTCTACTTAATGTATGCCCCTACCCTTAGCCACTGACAGCAAATATGGGCCTGAAGGTCTTATTAGATTCTTGAAATCCTGAAACGAGGAATCAGATGAGCAGCTACAGATTTTTTTTTTTAATTGTCTAAAGGCTCTTTAAAGGAAATTTCAAAGTTTATTAGAAAAACATAAGTATCTGTGACTCGAGACATTTTTCTAAGAAAAAAAAAACCCCATACATATCTTGTGTTGCGTCTTGTTACTTGCATTCTACCAATGTGGACATATAAAGATAAGTAAGACAGGTCTTAGCTCAAAAGTATATATAATTCAGATGAGAAACATACCTACAAAATTATGTTTTGCATAATTAGGTGTGAGACTGTGTAATTCAGTATTCTACAAGTAGCAAGGTTAATTAAAGGTGGAAGAGGGCTGGGCAAGGTGGCTGATGCCTGTAATCCCAGCACTTTGGGAGGCCGAGGTGGGCAGATCACGAGGTCAAGAGATTGAGACCATCCTCGTCAACATAGTGAAACCCTGTTTCTACTAAAAATACAAAAACTAGCTGGGCATCATGGCACTTGCCTATAGTCCCAGCTACGTGGGAGGCTGAGGCAGTAGAATTGCTTGAACCCTGGAGGCGGAGGTTGTGGTGAGCCAAGATCGCACCATTGCACTCCAGCCTGGGCAACAAGAGCAAAACTCCGTCTCAAAAAAAAAAAAAAAAAAAAAAAAAGAAGTGGAAGAGCCTTTTCAGTTATGATATTGACAAAGGCCCAGTCAAGGAAAAAGGAATAGGATTTTGAAAGTGTGAAATTATTCTAGTGAGGGGGAAGGTGTGGAAGTTGAAATGCCACGATTAGTTGAGGAAGCATCTAGATCTGGTGGGATTGTCCATATTTAGTAAGGGAGGAGAGATGTCTAGTTGAAGACAGATGATGATGTTAATATAGTCACACTGTCTGTACCTTCAGTGCCAAGAGGCTTTGGTTTTTTTCCCTTTATGCAGTGGAGTTTTGCACAGGGAAAATAATGTAGAAATAACCTTGAAACCTTAATCTAGTGTCAGTGTGCAGGATGCATCTGAGGAGGAAATAGAGTCAGAGGGATGAGTTAGGAAACTTACAGAGGCCAAGAGGTGATGTTTATTAAGTTACATATTTTTTTCTTATTTTAGGATCTGGATGCTGGTGTAAGTGAACATTCAAGTGATTGGTTGGATCAGGATTCAGTTTCAGATCAGTTTAGTGTAGAATTTGAAGTTGAATCTCTCGACTCAGAAGATTATAGCCTTAGTGAAGAAGCACAAGAACTCTCAGATGAAGATGATGAGGTAGTATTTTCCCCCCCTCTAATTATGTTGGAAAATTATTAAATATTTTCTATGCTCATTGACTTTGAGAATGAAATCATAATATATTCAGATTTCACTTGAAATCCTAGCCTCTTGATTTGTTCAGACTAATGTATTAGTTTGTGGACTTGAGGATTTCATAGTTGTTCATAACTTGATTTATATTCTTATGTTGCTAGTAATGCCAAGAAGTCAGTAGGCCTCAATGAACATGCTTATTATAACCATCTCATCACTTTTAAAAATATTTAATTCAATTACTGTTGTAATATTAGCTTGCTTTTTGTAAAAGTAAAACATGCATACAGTTAAAGTCAAATAGTACCCTCAGTGATCTGTTTCCCAGAAGTGGCTGCCTTCAGCATTTCTAGCCATTTTCCTGTTGTTTAATATCTCCGTATTATTTATTTATAAAATTAAACCACTGAGCTGAATGTTTTGTTTTATTCATCCTAAACATCCTTTGTATTGACTTTTCCCATTGTGGGTGATGATTTCTCTCTCCTCCATTTTTTCCCCCTTTATACTCACTCACTCTATTTCATCTTAGACTTTCTCATATATTGTAGTGCATGGTATTTAGGACTTATTACTAGGAAGTTTTCCGGTAGAAGGAAAAAGGGTGATGAATTGATGCTGACGAATTTGTTTTATTAGGTATATCGAGTTACTGTGTATCAGGCAGGGGAGAGTGATACAGATTCATTTGAAGAAGATCCTGAAATTTCCTTAGCTGTAAGTATATATCTGCTTTTTTTAAGAAATCAAAAAATTACATTAAGGTCTAGATGAGGAAAATTATGTCTATCCTACTTTCTGAAATGAGCTGATTTTTATAAAGTTAAAATATAAAGTCTGATTAAAGCATTTTGCTTTCATTTGTTGTAATGAAACTTATAGCTATAATTTTTATTTTTAGATGGTGGAATTTGAACTTTGTTTTTGTTTGTTTGTTTTGTTTTTTTGAAACAGGGTCTTACTTTGTCTCCCAGGCTGGAGTGTAGTGGTGCAATCTCGATGTACTGCAGCTTCCACCTCCCAGGTTCAAGCGATTCTTGTGCCTCATTCTCCAAAGTAGCTGGGATTATAGGTGTGCGCCATCACGCCCCACTAATTTTTATATTTTTAGTAGAGACCAGGTTTCACCATGTTGGCCAGACTGGTCTCATCCTGGCTGAGAATTGAGAGTGGGCAGATCACTCTGAGAGATCACTTGAGAACGATCCACCCACCTTGGCCTCCTAAAATGTGGGATTATAGGCATGAACCACTGCACCCAGCTGAATTGGTACTTTTTGCTGTTATTTTGGAAAATTTCAATTATCTTCAGTATACTTATCACCCAATAACACTTACCAACATTTTGCCAATCTTGTCAAATGTAAAGTTTTTTTAAAATTGAAATAGGGTCCTGCTCTGTCATCTAGGCTGGAGTGCAGTGATGTGATCATGGCTTACTGCAGCCTCCACCTTCCAGGCTCAAGTGATCTCCCACCTCAACCTCCCGAGTAGGTGGGAGTATAGGTGCATGCCACCACACCCAGCTAATTTGTATTTGTTATAGAGATGTCACCGTGTTGCCCAGGATGGTCTCGAACTCCTGGGCTCCAGTGATCCACCCGCTTTAGTCTCCCAAAGTGCCAGAATTATAGGCATAAGCCACCACACCCAGCCAAATGTAAACATTTTTATTATTGATTTTTATTATAGAATGTGGTAGGTTTTGCCATTTTGTTCTTAATATTGCCTTTGTTATAGTTGAATAGGAAATACATTTTTTTAGTTATAAACAGTTATTAATTATCCAAATGCAAAAAAGATGAAAATATGTTTCCAAAATTTTTATTGTAGTAGAAAATAATTTAAATAACTAGTTGAATCATTTGATGTCAAGTTGTGTAAAATATTTTAGACTTTTTATTATCTATTTTAAGACCCACTAAAATTATTTTAGATATTGATCTTGCAATATATTAGACTTTTTGATGCCCTTTTACTCCCATATTGCAAGACCTTTTCATTGGTTTTATGAGCTGTGAAAACCCCCTTCTATAACTTGTAAAAACCAATGTTGAAGAATAAATAGTCTCTGTCTTTATTGCTCCTCTCTTATGTCATTTGTGAGGCATAACTTATGAGGTTTTCACTTGTAAAATGTCCTCAGGCAAGAACCATGCTTCAGTTAAGGGAAGAATAGGTTATGTAAAAAAGCTGGGGATGTGGGAGAGTTTGTTATCCAAATTGCATGGTGGAAAGGCTTGCATGATAAAACTTTGAGAAGAGAAAGAAGCATTGAGCAGTTACAGAGATGAGAGCACAGGAAAGGCTAGACAAGTAAAGGGCATACGTTATGGTTAGTGACCAAGGATGATAGGTTTTAGCGGCAATACTTGCTGTGAAAATGTTTTAGCATTTCTCTTGTGGTTGGAGTTAGGGAATACTCAGTTGAGCCATGGTTTTAGAGCACGTCTAAGGTAGTTCCAGTCACTGGTGGATTAGGAAGTCTTTCTCTAGAAGGCAGGTTTCATCCAGATTGATAGGATCGACTCTAGAATAGTGTCAAGGGTTGAGCCTTTAAGGGAGTGAAGATAGGCTGCATTACAGAGTGAAAGATCCCATATACTTGCATCAACTAAAGGAAACAACTGTAATTGTATCCTGAAACAGATAACTTTATAGGTACATGATTAATATCGCAGTGAATACATTTTTAGTTTAGAATTTTTCAGGTTGGTATGGGTGAAAAAAATGGGTATGCATGTTTTCTAGGAGAGACTGTTACATATTGACTTTTAAAAACCTGTTTTGTGTGTAATTGAGACATATAACATGACGTTTTGACACACATGTTAATAGTGAAATGATCACTATAGTCAAGCAAATTAATGTAATTCATTATCTTGTATAGTTACCTTGTGTGTTTGGTAAAAATATAAAAAATCTACTCTCTTAGTAAATATCCAGTATACAAATATATTACTAACTATAGTCTTAATGCTGTACATGGTGACTGTATTATATGAAACACTGAATATTGAGCTGTGTGGTATATTTTACCTTAGACATAGCAAAGTTGCTAGAATTCCTGTGACTAGTATTTAAAGGATTACAGAAACTGACTGCGTGTCTTATTTCATTGAAGGACTATTGGAAATGCACTTCATGCAATGAAATGAATCCCCCGCTTCCGTCACATTGTAACAGATGTTGGGCCCTTCGTGAGAATTGGCTTCCTGAAGATAAAGGGAAAGATAAAGATAAAGGGGAAATCTCTGAGAAAGCCAAACTGGAAAACTCAACACAAGCTGAAGAGGGCTTTGATGTTCCTGATTGTAAAAAAATTACAGCGAATGATTCCAAAGAGTCGTGTGTTGAGGAAAATGATGATAAAATTACACAAGCCTCACAATCACAAGAAAGTGAGGACTATTCTCAGCCGTCAACTTCTAGTAGCATTATTTATAGCAGCCAAGAAGATGCAAAAGAGTCTGAAAGGGAAGAAACGCAAGACAAAGAAGAAAGTATGGAATCTAGTTTGCCCCTTAATGCCATTGAACCTTGTGTGATTTGTCAAGGTCGACCTAAAAATGGTTGCATTGTCCATGGCAAAACAGGACATCTTATGGCCTGCTTTACATGTGCAAAGAAGCTAAAGAAAAGGAATAAGCCCTGCCCAGTATGTAGACAACCAATTCAAATGATTGTGCTAACTTATTTCCCCTAGTTGCCCTGTGTATAAGAGAATTATATTCCTAACTAATTAACCCTAAGGATTCAGACAGCATGAAATTTATTTACATATATCAAAGGGAGAAATTGCCTCAATCCATGTGGATTTCTTCTCTTTAGTATAATTTACCTACTTTGGTAGTGAAATAGTAAATACTTACTTTGAAGAAAATTTCATTCTGTGTCTATTTAATATTTGGGTTTTAACATAATTTGAATTGAATAGCTGATTCTTTACCACAACCCCAAATTTTAAATAATTTCTACTCTGTCTTAAATGAGAATTATCTATTTTTTAAAATATATATATATATATATGGCATTGTGATGTAACTTATTTAGTACCTTTCATGTAAAGGGAAATTGGTGGAAACATTTAGTTTTTTGTTTTTTCATTTTTCTTTTTTTTTGAGACAGAGTCTCACTCGGTTGCCCAGGCTGGAGTGCAGTGGCACAGTCTTACAGTCTCCACCTTCTCAGTTCAAGCAGTCTCCTGCCTCAGCTTCCAGAGCAGTTAGGATTACAGGCACGAGCCACAATACCACCTGATTTTTTTGTGGTTTTAGTAGAGACAGGATTTCACCATGTTGACAGCATGGCCTTTAACTCCTAAACTCAAGTGATCCACCTGCCTCAGTCTCCCAAAATGCTGGGATTATAGGTGTAAGGCACCGTAACTGGCCCCAAATTTTAGGTATTCTTAGACCTTCTGATCTTTAGTTTCTCTCTCCAAAATACTTTTTCTAGGTTAAAAAAAAATTGGCTCTTATATTTGGTGCTATGTAAATAAAAATGTGTTACTTTTTTTTTTTCTTTAAGAGTTCTTGTTTTTGCAATGGAGACAGGGTCTCCTTATGTTGTCTAGGCTGGTCTTGAGCTCCTGGACTCGAGGGATCCTCCTGTCTTGGTCTCTGGAAGCGCCAGGTAGGATTATAGGTGTAAGCCACCCCACCCGGCTGTAAAAATGTACTTCTTATTCTCCAGCCTCTTCTGTATAAACAACTGAAGTGAGGGATGGGGGTAATGATGCTACCAGTGAAAACAGCTACCATTTACCCATAAGACAAAACTTTAAAGCCTCCTGAGTAAAATATGGCATTGTCTTGGGAATGTAACCTAGTATATCAAGCCCTTTTTCACACAAAAAATCTTTTCAGGATTTAGTGGAACCTGTTGTTTCCCCTAAGTTGAAAAACAACTGTAGGACACTTCAGGTCCCTTCCTGGGCTGGGTTACTTGGTGCCCAGCCTAGGCTTCAGACTTTTGCTTACGGCCAGTTTCGGAAACCCGTGAATTCAGAAGGGTCAATTCAGAAATTTGATGAACAGAATTGTTCATTTAAAAACTAACTGAAAAGATTGCAAGTTTTTTCTGAATTATCCAGAAATGATGCATCCTTTTCCTTCAAGAATGACAAGGTCAGAATGTGGAATTCCAAGATACCTCTTGACTCTAGCTCCATGTTTGGTCAGTGGAAGCCCATGCGAGCTCAGCATGTGTACTGAGAAGTGTTAGTGTCTTTTAGAGCCAGTCTACCCTGCTCACATCATGGTGTTCATCTGTAGCTACTGCACGGCGTTCAGATTGTGTGAATCCAAATGTCATAAAAACTTTAGAAGTGCAATTCTCGAAAGGTTAGGTGGACTAAAACATTCAGTAGAGCAACTGATAATAACAAGCTTACAGTGGATAATTCATTTGAATTTGAAAAATATAGAAATGAACCTGTCAAATACCAGCAAGAACTGAAGAATAAAATTACTGATGTAGCGAAGACAGATGCAAAGATCAAACAATTGCAGACTAAATTTATAAGGAACAAATTGAAGAAAAATAAAGGAATACAGAAAGTTCAGGACATCAGAGAAATTGGGCAAAACTCATCTTGACCCTTCTTGAAGGCAAAGGAAAGCAGCTGGAAGAAAAGATGATACAACCATTACAACAGGATGCAGATGTAGAAGAGGTTTCCTAAAAATCTTGTCTGTAACTGCTAATATATTTGCATTTGAAAATCTCTTGGAGACTTAAAACCTCTAAATTATTATTATTTTTTTGAGACAGTCTTGCTCTGTTGCCAGGTGCCAGTCTGGAGTGCAGTGGCGCGATCTCGGCTCACTGCAACTTCCGCCTTCTGAGTTCAAACGATTCTGCTGCCCCAGCCTCCCAAGCAGCTGGGACTACAGGTGTGTGCCACTGTGCCCAGCTAATTTTTTTTGTATTTTATTAGAGATGGGGTTTCACCATCTTGGCCAGGATGGTCTCGATCTCTTGACCTCGTGATCTGCCCGCCTCAGCCTCCCAAAGTGCTGAGATTACAGGCATGAGCCACTGCACCCACCCTGATTTATTTTTTATATAAGGTCACTCAAAGGTGATTTAAAAATCACCTACATTGCTATCTATAAAATATCAGATAATAGGGATATTAGATTGCATCTCATTGTTAACTCTTCACTGATATGTTTATGAAAATCATGAAAATTCTGTTTGTAAATGCAGAAGTGAAATGTGGACATAAAATGGTTATGCCATTTGTTTAGTGATACTAGGCAACATTTATGTAATAACTATTGACAAAATTTAAAAATTTATAGCTAGTGATAGACATAAAGTTTTCTTAGCAGTAAAAATGCCCTTTATTGTTATAGAAGGGAGGTTATAAGGAACCAACAGTTTGTATGAAAATAGCTCAAATAATATATTTTGAGTTTAGTATTTCTTGTTTTGGTTTATTAGCATTTTAGAACAAAATGGCCTTATGTGATGAAGCCTAGTTTGCTGGACTGTTTTGACCTGGTTTAACTGTTCTGACAGATAGTTGGGAAGGAGAGCTGAATAACCTTTGCCTGAAATGATGCTATGTAATTTCTGCTTTGGCAAATACTCAGTTCTAACTTGTGATTCCTGGTAGAACAAGCTTTATATTTCAAGTCTAGCAATGATCTAGAAGGAGATGTATCTCAGTGCCTTTTAAAATTTGTTGTGTGGTTTTCTTTTAAAAAGCCACACAATAATTTTGGAAAACAATGTATGGGTAGAACATCTGTCTAGTATTTGTAGAAAACCACTTTTAATGGGTACAAAGTTAAATTAGGAGGAATAAGTTCTGATGTCCGTAGTCACAGTAGGGTGACTACAGTTAATTATTGAATGTTCTTGCTACAAATAAATGATAAATGTTTGAGTTGATGAGTGTGCTAATTACACTGATTTGATAGATACACATTGTACGTGAAACAGTACATACACCATATTTACAATTATGTATCAGTTTAAAATTTTAAAAAAATTTCTAATGTCAAAAGTATCTCTCAAACTGTGTAGATTAACTTCTCGATTTATATTTAAAAATGAATCTTAAGCAAAATAGTGAAAATAACTATCTTGGTTTCGTGTTTTTCTCCCATATGTGAATTGTATATACTTACAATAAAATCAGCTAAACTGTAAGCTTAGAATAGGCCTGAGGGATAATTTGCACAGCAGCTTTACTAATGGTACATTGTTACATTGTTGCTTACACACACACACACACACAC